CAGCCACGGCACACGAGATGCACTCCCGGACGGCACGCCGCAGTCTATATTTTAATCTAAAAGGAATCCAGTTGGCACATTTCAAGGCTGCTCTAGGCTGAGCAGCGAAGTGCAGTAAGTGGACTTCACCTCAAGAGCACCCTGCTGAGCAAAGCGAAATCCCTGATGCCCACTCACCCTTAGCAGATGCCAGTTTTCCCTGTATGCTTGACCTGAGCTCCAAGCCATTTTCAAAGAACAAAAGTATAGTTATCTCCTGAATCACTGCAGCAATATCTCCTCTTATAGCTGTTGGGAAAATAGATTGTAACTTCTGGAAGTGATGGGAAGAGCTCTTGCTCTGCAGTCGGGGAGCAGCAGCCAAGCGTTGAGGAAGGGGAAGGCAGAAAGGAGCGCGATAGCAACACTCAACTACACGGAGAAACAAGTCACTCTGGCCTATCCCACTTTCCTGAACGCTCAGGGCAACTTCACCTTCTAAAGTACGCTGAGCGTTTTTTAGACATAAATAAGTAAGTGACATTCGCTGTTGGTTGTGGAGAGTTCACGCTGACAACACTGCTGTAACAATCCACCACTCACACAGCTTCCTGTGATCTGCAATTATCAGGAAAATAAAATAAAAAATTTCTTCATATTTAATATGCACAGCTTAAATAATCCACCTGGAACATGCTGTGGAAATTTCCCATCCCCAGCGGAGGGGTGAAATGAGAGAAGCAAAAGGAAATCTGCCTAATATTGCTGCAGATGTAAGGGAGCAAACTCCAGTTAGTGTTGTCTTCTCTCACCTAGTTGCAGCAGCCAAATTAGAACAAAAACCAAAGGCTGCACAGCTGATGCTGGAGTAAGTTCAGATTTCTGCTTGCCACATGATTTTCCAGTTATCTAACAAAATGCTGCTTCTACTGAAAGAATACAGGGCAAGAATACTCGCTAAGAGAAAAGCTTTAGTTGTAACATGCAAAAGGATCCCACGTTAGACAAAAGACACACAATAACTGACTACAGACAGAGTTACCAAAGGGATGGTACTGTAGGAAGGGTGCAGAGGCTGCTCAGCTTTTACTTACTAAATACAAGAATTTTAAGTGGAGAAAGCAGTGTTTAGCAAAACCACCTGGCCTTCAAAAATTTTACTTAAAAAAGCAGTGTCATATCTTTTTCATTTTAAGTGGATGTATGTTAATTCTGATGAACTACTACAAATGTTTTAATAAAAATCTTATTAGATAAATCACTATTCAATGGTTGTCACCTCACAACTGCTATATAATTTTGCTACAAGACCAGGGTTGTAGAGTCAGTCTCCACAGTTTAGATCAAAGTAGATGTTTTAAAATTACAGGAACTCCCCTGTAGCTACATTCCCGAAGAAGTCTTTTGCAGCCACTTTGGGGGGGGGGGGGAACTTAAAATTTTTGTTTTACCTCCTTGTCAAAAATAATCCCTACTGTTTCAGATGACAATATGTATTTTCGCTTTTTTGTTGCAGTTACTGCCACGCCAGGTACTTTATCCTTTCACTCGTTCCTGAAGAGCTCGTGCAGCAGCACGTGAATCACACTGATACCAATCACAGGTCAGAGAAGGAAATGGAGAACAAGTCTTTTCAGTCAACTGATATGAAAGAAAAAACAAAAAACCCACAACACACACCACATGAAAGAGTCCAGAAAGCAGGAACAGAACTGAGGGGAAAAACAAGCGCATGTAAGTAGAAAATGGTATGAAAAGTCAGGTCCCCTCAGGGTTGAGGAGAGCAGCCTTACTGAGATGCCTGGCTCAATCCAGCCCAGCAAACTCAGCGTATTCTCCAATTAGTACTTCTCATCCTGCTTTAATTTTTCTACTTTGGAGTCTCTATCTCATTTTTGCCATTTTTTTCTACCAAGATCAACACTGAGTAACGTATTGAACACAGCCGAGCAGGTAGGAATTGAGCCTCAGAGAAGCTGAAAGCGCTGTCTGCAGAAAGGTACGTTTTGGCAGCGCGATGACTGTACTACAGCTGGTCAGTCTTTGCAGCAATGAAAGACAGAATCTATCAGGTTTCTGGACTTGAAATTTTACCAGCGCCCCGAAAGAAAGATTCTCGACGTTTAAGGGCTCTGATTCACAAAGAACCTGCTGAAAGGCCAGCAGGTCACCGCGTATGAAGTGAGCCGCAGGAGCTGTCTGCCTGCACGCTTGTGCACAAAGTCAGCTGCTTTACGGTATCTCAGAGAGCACAAAGGAAGATCGTTTACTTACTCTGCTCTCACTTGCTGCACCACTGTAACAGGATCAGTCTCGACCCTTATGCTCACTAGATGCAAATAACACTTCAGCTTGTACAAAATGTAGATCCAGACTACCCACCTTTGTATAACTGATGGTGCCATATGCCTCTTCATGAATTTCTGAGGGAAATCACAAACTATGTTCAATTGCAGGATTGTCCCCTTGACAAAGATTATACCTAAGTTTGACACCTGCATTATAAATTGCTCCAAAATTACATAATGCTTTCATAAAAGTTAATTACTTTTGTGAGAAAAAGGGTAGAATTTCTACATTGAACATATAACTATACTTCCATCAATTTAGTTATTAACCTTCTCATGCTTAGTATCATCAGAGGAGCTGAAGAAACAAGAGGAGGAACCCACAGTCCTATAAATATCATAACATTCATGGTTATGCATCAGTTAGCATAGAAAAAAAATATCAAAAGATAATACTGAAAGCTTCATATTTAGGACATAACTTTCCACAGCTGAAGACAAGCCAGTAATTCAGTTCTTGTTTTCACTTCATTATAACAACTATTATGAATACAATTCTCATTTCCTCTCTTCAGATCCCCTGCTTGCTGATTCGAGGCTCAGCTTTATCCTCAGCAGTGTTAACTGTTTGCTGAATTCTCTACATTTACCAGTTCTGTTGTCCACAGTTTGAAAAGCAGAGAAGCTTCTTCCAGCAGAAAATAGACTATCAACTCACAATGAAAAGCAATCCTTGTGAACAAATTGAATCAGCAGTTCTGCCGAGCGCAGGGTTAAACCCTGCTTATTCTCTGACCTCTCAAGTGTAGTAACATTCTTATAAGAGATGACCCAGTTTATTATAGACATTCCTGGCACTTTGCCGAGCCCCTCATAATACCCACTGTGCATGCAATATTTGTGGTGCAAATCTGGTGTCTATAATTGGTATGAATAATTGCATTGCAGTGGAGTGTCCTTACCCCATCTTTTATTAGAGCCTGCTTTTTTAGATCAGTTTTTATGCATGAGTTGAAAATGTTTCACACCACATGCACAAAAGCTATACACAATCTTCAGATTATTAATAAAAGACATTAAAAAATGAAAGAACTACAGCTTTAATATAAATGTAATAACTATTGCATTTATGCTGCGACTGAGCACTGTACGTTGCTAACAAAAAGTTATGTTTATTTAAACTGCAGTGAAATCATATTAAATCAACAGTTCAGTTCTGATGCTCTGTGATGAAATGTTCTAAGATAATGGTTATTTATAGCAAACAAACCTCTCACAACAAATTTTAG